TCTCCCCCTCTCTCTCTCTCTCCCCCCCCTCTCTCTCTCTCCCCCCCCCCCCCCCCCTCTCTCTATATATATGATATGATATACGGTATACGTGTTTCATAGACATGGCCATGCTAATACACGTTTCTGCGCCCCCCCCCCCCCCCCCCCCCCCCTCACTCACTCACGCTAATACACGTAGTTATTGGGACCTTTTTCACCCATTTTGTACATGATGTTGTAGAAGTGTACCATTGTTTAAAACAACGCTATTTTTGTCACTCAGAAGAACATAATTATTACCGTTTTAAAACAATTAAATTTGTCAGTTCTAGTATGTCAAACGGATGCTTTATAATACATCCTAACTTCAAAACCGAAACAAAATAGTTGTCAACAATCCCGCACTCTCACATGTTATTTTCTCTTACGTGTCAACCACCTTCGAAATGAACAATCTTGAGGTTTTCCAGAATTTCCAGAGCCCCCTTTAAAGTTTTTTTCCACAACAACTGCCTTGATACGCCTGGCTGCGTCAAACCACTCGTAATGTGTTTGGTTTGCGGTGAAGCAAGTGAAGGCGTATTGATCACAAGTTCTGCTGCAACATTCAGACAGTGCAAGGAAAAAGAAAAAAACGGTAAACACCCGTAATGACACTCAGGGTGTGTTCAATAATTCTGCGCTCGATTTCTCTCAACAACACAAACTCATCTCGTTCCTGTTCAATGATGTGAAGCTGGGAAGTCAGTATATGATGTATGAAATGGAAGGTAAAGTTAAAGAGCTGTAACTTCCAGAGCTGGAGCAGAACAACGCCCAACACAGTTTGTAGCATAAAGAGGTGAGGTGGTGTGTGAAATGGGGTTGAACGTCGCGTTCAAGTTTATTGCACATATATAGCGACGTGCATGCACGTGTGTATGTGTGTAGCTGCTTGTTCTAGTCCGGAATAATGCTGATTTCATAGTGCTAGCCGGCTATACCACGCCGCAGTTTAACATGAATACTCATGAACACTGACTCCAAGCCACACAGTCCTTGTTTTAGCCTCTTAATGTCGAGCGCCAGGCAGGGTAAAAACAAGTACCATCATATAACGTCTTTTGGAATGACGCGGCCGGATATCGAACCCCGGATTCCGCTCTACGGCAGACGCTCTATCCATCAGCACTCGGGGACTATAGCATAAAGAATCATAGTTGGCACTACCAAAGCTATAACAGCCTGCAAATGTGTTTGCTTTAGTGTCAAGACAACTACACGTGTAATATTTAACGTCGCCATATACCGGCGACTAAACGGAGGTATAAACATATACGGCAGCATCTTTCCTTCATATAAACCCGTGAAGATCCGGGTCTTCAGCAACCCATGCTTGTCATTAGAAGCAACTAACGGCATCGGGTGATGCACGTCATCGTATCGTAATTGCATGGATCTATGCTGATGATGTCAATCACTGGAATGCCTGGTCCAGACTCGATTATTTACAGACCGACGTCTGGAATATTGCGGCGTTAAACAACAAACAAACAATTTATCAGATAATCGGTTTTACACAAGTCGTGCTTAACCCGTTACAAAGAAATCATGATCATCCTTTTTCAGAATGTTATATGAATGTTTATGTCTCAATGTTGTACCGCCTTTGTGATCTAGTGGATAGAGCGTGTTCCCGAAGAAGAGGAAGGTTGATGGTTCGATGCCCTGTCCGCATCTTACCAAAATACGTAAACACACGGTACTTGTTGTTACTGTGCCTTGTGTTCGGCATTAAGGGGATAAAACCATTAATGGTCGGTTGGGTGTCAATATAATATGTCTGTGTGAGGTATTCATGTTAAACTGCCGCTTAGTATAATATTATATATAATTTGAAATAGGACCGTTTATTCCATTTGGGGAACTAAGGAGGCGGTTGGGTAGCCTAGTGGTTAAAGCGTTTGCTCGTCACGACGAAGGCCCGGGTTCGATACTCACAAAGGTACAATGTGTGATGAACATTTCTGGTGTCCCTAGCAATGGATATTCCTAAAGCGGCGTAAAACCAAACTCACTTTCTCACTGGGGCACCGCTGTTAAAGAAGACTAACCGAACGTTATATATCGCGAACGTTTTTCAAATGTCTTAATGTCTTTAGTTCGGTCAAAAAAAATTAGTTTAATGCCTCCTGTTTGAGATCATTTATTGAATGATTCAAACATATAAGTTCATATTTGAATGCTGAATTGAATTTCAATTAGTTTATTTCAAAGCTTATTCCTTCGTAATACATTATTGCCTGCTTGTTTCCGCGTGCTTGTCATCTCTCATGCGTCATGAGTTATTTGAAGATGAAGACATTAGTGTCCTACATGAAACATCCACGGCAACACATCTGTCGTTTGAGTGTTGCTTTGACATTCTCTTTCAGTACCGTACACGGAAACACTGAGACCAGACCAACATCAAAGTCCAATATAAAGAAGACAACAAACAATTAGTCAAAGTACGAATTAATTCAATACAGACTGACAAGAATATCGATGGTGCGAACTCCTCGGTGTTCCCGCGTGGGCAGTCATTGCACAACCACCAGGTACACGATATGCCACACAGCTTACATTCAGTCAATGATTCAAGAGTGAGTGTCTTTAAATGAACCGACACTTTGACTATTAATATCAGACTTACATGCCCGAGAATAACGAAAAGACGACAATCCTTAATCAGCCCATGACGTAGCATCATCTTGTGAATTCATGTTTCTTACTTCACCCTGCGGGAATGGCGGGTTAGAATAGCTCACACCCCTTTGGAGTGAGTGAGTGAGTGAGTGAGTGAGTTGGGTTTAACGCCGCATTTAACAGTATTCCAGTTATATCACGGCCTGTCAGCTTAATGTGGGAGGAAAGCCTGAAGTGATGCAGGTCTAAGACGGTTACCACTTCGGTGAAACCCACGAGCATGGGTATGGTGCTGACAAACCTAGAAACATAATTGGGGCGAACCGGGATTCGAACCCACGATCATAGGTTTCTGGCATGCCCAAGGGACGCAACTCTGAACAGACACCCCTTTGGAAACCAAATGTAGTATGTTGTAGGCAGTACAATTATCTGAGAGATGATTTTGATATTTTGGACCCTCCTTTTCAACAATGCTTGATCCGCCCTTGTTGTCTAACACCACAGACAGGAATATTCTAGCCTCCCGTGTGTGGTCTTTAAAAATTGAGATTAGACTAGGCAAACTAGTGACTGAAGGCATGAGCAACGATCCAGGTCGATGACACATGATAAGCGAAGTCAGAATTTTATCCTTATTTGAAATTACGAATTACCGCCATTATTCATGCAAATTGTTACAATCAACCTTTTAAATAATCATACAATTGTTGTAACAATGAAATCAATACAAGGCGGAGGTTTTAGGAACACACTTGCTGCTCAGAAGACAAAAGGTCTCGATAGAACAGCTGCTGAACATCACAACGGAAGAGTTACCCTTTGTTGTGCTATAAAGTATATTCATTTTATTCAAATAGGTATTAATGACAAAAGGTATGTACATGTTATTTCAAGATAAATATGTATGTAAATTCTGAGTGTAACAATACCTCACAACAATAAATATTAAATACAGATTAAAATAAGAACAATGACAGTTCGGTTTCACAACCTAACAAAGCTGTCTGCTATGTAACATGAACATTTTGTGCATACGTCTTTAAGAATTAGAAGTTGGGTGTTTTATGGAAACATATATTTGTGTGTCAAGCGTAAAAAAGACAATAGCACTTGGGACATCTATGGTAAAATATAGAGGATATTTCATGTGTCGCGGGGGAGACATTAGCCACGACTGAAAATATATCCTTTCCCCCGTCACGAGATCAGTGAAACATGATATTTCACGAGACACATGGAATAATTTATTTTTATAAACGTTTTTTAGTTGATATTTTATTCATTATTCTGCATATATTAAACATATTTTTGTAAGCTTCGAGACCGATGTTGGAAGCGAAGGAAAACATGCTGCTCAAGGAACAAACATGGTGCTTTGCGAAATGAAAAGTCTCACTTGACGAGTTAAATGAGAAATTGACGGTTTATAACGAAACATTTGTTAACGGAATAGCAAAAGGCAAGAAACGACAAAGCCCCGTAAATGATCATTTGTCATTAATTTGCCTTCTCAATGTGTAAGTAACGTAAAAAGGAAGTCAACAGTTTGTGTACGGGGTATTTACTTACGACAATATGGGCGATGTAACTCTTTTATGACAACAATACGGTCAAAGAGTTATGTTCCCTGCAGTGAAATAACTAGTGTGTTCACTGCAATGAAAATGTCACTTTTAACAATTTCAGAAAACTCATTTTTTTTATTTGTTTGTTGTTTAACGCCGCACCCAGCAATAGTCTAGCTTTATGACGACGGTCTGATAATAATCGAGTCTGGACCAGACAATCCAGTGCTTGACATCATGAGCAGTGATCCACGCTGTTGAGATACGATGACATGCATCAACTAAGTCAGCGAGCCTGACCACCCGATCCCGTTAGTCGCCTCTTACGACAAGCATGGGTTAATGAAGACCAATTCTAACCCAGACCTTCACGGGTTAGAAAACACAACTCTTTCACACTGAATATATAATGAAACACAGATAAAAGACAATACACAAACGGGTTGGTATACTCATAACTTAGATTCGTTCGTATTTCAGCATCTACGCGTGTGAAATTATCTATTGAGGGTAACAGGAATATTATTAATCTGCCACAATGTATTTTGATGAGATATCTGCAGCTTGTGATTCTGTTCTTATGCGTGATGACATAACTATAGCCTCAATCGAGTACTCTCAACAGTTCCTTACAAAAATACAAGCTAGTGCTTACAGATTTCTTGTTTGATTTTGACATTGACAGTCAAGAAAGAAATGATGATGTATTGATTTTGGTACTTAATACGTAAGTCACGTGTGAATTGTTTTATTCTTGTTTTTGTGTGTTTTACTGTATACTGGTTTGACATTTGCAGTTTTCAATGGTTGGTTTAACAAGATTCCAGCTATTTTCACTTTGTACCTTTGTAGGGAATTTAACCAGGGACTTAGGCGTGACGAGCACATACTTTAACCACTAGACTACCCCACTACCCTGGCATTTTTCAACAGATACCTTATTTCTGAAACTACTAAACCTTCAGTGCTGGTATAATGTATCGATTATATAATATCATGGAATAAAGAAAACCTTCTTCAGAAGTCGGATCAAATACAAATACTGACAGTAAAGTAAGCATATCGAAAGAAACTACTAAACCTTCAGTGCTGATATAATGTATCGATTATATAATATCATGGAATGAAGTAAATGTTCTTTAGAAGTGTGATCAAATACAAATACGGCCAGTAAAGTAAGCATATCGAAAGAAACTACTAAACCTTCAGTGCTGATAAAATGTATCGATTATATAATATCATGGAATGAAGTAAATGTTCTTTAGAAGTGTGATCAAATACAAATACGGCCAGTAAAGTAAGCATATCGAAAGAAACTACTAAACCTTCAGTGCTGATATGTATCGATTATATAATATCATGGAATGAAGTAAATGTTCTTTAGAAGTGTGATCAAATACAAATACGGCCAGTAAAGTAAGCATATCGAAAGAAACTACTAAACCTTCAGTGCTGATAAAATGTATCGATTGTATAATATCATGGAATGAAGTAAACTTTCTTTAGAAGTGTGATCAAATACAAATACGGCCAGTAAAGTAAGCATATCGAAAGAAACTACTAAACCTTCAGTGCTGATATAATGTATCGATTATATAATATCATGGAATGAAGTAAATGTTCTTTAGAAGTGTGATCAAATACAAATACGGCCAGTAAAGTGAGCATATCGAAAACGCCGGATGAACCTACCAGCGGACACAGGTCTATTTGCAGTAACCATGGAGTGATTCCAGCCCTGTCGCACAAGTATTTAACACCACAGGACCATCCAGCACGACACAATACAGATGCAGTGAAGCCATATCAAAAGCGGTATCACACGTTGTGCCATTTTGGGAATCGAGATAAATTTAATTGAATTACCATAACCCCCTTTTTGAAACAAGTATTTTCGGTTATAAACATTATTTTTTTGATTAAAAAATGCTGTATATTAACGATTAAATGTGGCCATGCAATTAAATCCCATTAATCCAGACAATGGCGTTCAAATAGAAATCGTTCAGATTAACACATTTCCGAATTTATTAATTAAATGATTAATGTCATTGTGTATACGTGTAATGTTTCCCATATTCTGGACAAACAGCGAGGTTGTCTTGAATTTGAAGTGACAGAAAACATGAACAGTTGTGTTGTCTATACCGTCCACACAATTCATCTTCTTTATCGGGGGTCATTGTAACTATATTAGGGTTTGTATAATCACATCAGCAAGTTAGCTGTTGTGTACACATAGGATAAATATAACATTTCTTATTATGTAGAAGCTACAGCGCAAGTAAGATTAATTTAGAAACGTCTATCAAATATTTGTAATGAAACATGAATAGCTGGACTGAAGTGTCAATAAATATATAATATAAAAACAACGTCAAAGCGTATGGAAAAGATCATTGTAACACATTACAGCCACATAAAGAATTAACGTAACAACTGCAAACGTTAAGATCTTGCGATTGAAGTTTAATTGTTAAAGCGGTTAAGGTACCGATCATTTTAAATTGTGGGATTTGTTTAGAAAACTGTCCATAAAAGTACGGAAACAAAAATAAGTTTGTACAAAGTTTTCGAAACAAAAACGCTTGATGTCCTAAAAAACTAAAAGTAATCGGCCCATTCGAAGACCTTTAAATGATCAACCCTTACACCGTTATTGTAAATAACTATAAATGTTGACAATTTCTACCCAAGAAAACCAAGCCTGCCCGGCAAATATGAAAACTGTTGAAAGGCTTCTTGGTGTATTTGGGACCTGTGCATTACATGGCGATTGTGGGTGATGTCCTTGCCATCTTTTCGAAATGTTCACCTGGTGTCCTTGTCCAAGGGTTTTCAATCAAGAGGCAGCGGGCATCAACACAAATGGACACAAGGTCATGCTATTCCATTCAGATGAGGACACAGGTCTGTGCACCGTCAACGTCTTCACAGTATTGGTCTCCAGAACAACTGTGATCTTGACATGCACTAGCGAAACTCTTAGGCCACGCTGATATGGAACTGAAACGAAACAATTGAACTTAACCCAATATCACGCCAACCTCATTAACATCAATCACATCTTTTTCTCGGATACAGGGGGCACGGGTGTCCCAGTCGTCTAAGGCGCCGCGATTCGCTGTGCAGAGTTGCGCCCCTTGGGCACGCCAGAAACCTATGACTGTTGGTTTGAATCCCGGTTCGCCCCAATCTAGGTTTGTCAGCACCATACCCGTGCTCGTGGGGGTGAACGTCTGAGACCTGCATCACTTCAGGCTTTCCTCAGCTGACACCCCGCGATATAACTGTAATACTGTTAAAAGTGGCGTTAAACTCAACACACTCTCCAAATGCAATTGTCTATGGTGAATGTTGTCTCTACCCGCTTTATGTCAATGCGCAGGCCCGCATTATAAAGTATTGGTTAAAATTAAGCAGAATGCACGAAGGGCGGATCCCAAGAAAATACTCTTCATCCTTTGGTGGCATCTGTTCGTAACATTATATTTTCGCATGGTTTGGGATTTGTATGGTTAAACCAGTCTGTTGGGGACACTATTGCTTTCATTGGTGTATTTAAAACGTGTCTTGTAGATGAATTTCGTCAAAACTGGATGTCAACACTCAACAGTAGTACCAGATATGTGATGTATAAAGAATATAAAACACTGTTTGAACCTGTTAGATATTTGAGTATTTACAATAGCAAACATGTATGCAGTGTTTTTATTAAATTAATATGTAACGTATTACCTTTACGACAGAACAAGGGTAGTTGGCTGTCTATTGAATCATGCTTACTAGGGGTCCTGTTTGCAATATGTCTGATGAAGTTGAATATCATTTCGTATTGATCTGTAAACATTATACTGAACTGCGTAAAGTTTATTTGCCAGAATTGTATTGGAAATGTCAGTACAACTCAGGATGAATTATTAAAACGTCTGCAATATTATGTATATTATACATACAAAAAAAGACATGACGTCGTAAAATCCATGTAATATACTTCACATTGTATTATTGGCATTGCATTTCTTGTATATGGGCCAAAGGTCTATACTCAATTAAACTAATTTTGACTTATTTTGACACTCACTCACTCACTCCTCGGATACAAATACTTGGTGAACGCTAAGCAAACTGACCAAAATTAAAGGAAGGACGTAAGGGTTCTTGAGTCAGTAAGGAGATAACTTCATTTCTTTTCTCCCTCCATTAGGTTACATATTGCTGCAAAACAATAATAATGGCAGTACAAAAAAGTCAGTGATAATAATATATTCATCCAGTAGCGACAGTGGTCAAACTTCAAAGATAGACCTAGGCTGGGAATTCGATGTGATAAGTGATCTTTACACGAAAGCTGGTCTTGAAAATGTCAGATAAAACGTGAGAGAGATGATCAAGTCGCGCCTTCGTCCTCTTATAAAGCCCCCAAACCTTCCAGACTATTCCCCAGCGCTCCACAGCACATTCGTGAGCAACTCGTGTTTATCCGGGTCAAGCCGAATAGCGACTCGTAAAGATTTTACTAATACGAGAAGAATATGGAATAACCATTAAAGCAAGAAAACACCTAACTGCAGAATTTACGTGATGGGCACTGGTAATGGATAGGGTTTCACTTGAGACGAAAGTGGCCATGTTACTGATACGTTTGTCCGATCCGTTTGACAATGCGTTCAAATGGAACAAAATATATAACAAAAGATGAAACAGGTGTTACCTGTGAACTGAACCCCGCCTGGCTCTGAGACTCGATGTCATTACCCCAGAACTGTTGACCGTGTTAAGTTGGCAAGTGGAAGTGTCTATGAAATAATCAATCGACTTGCACTGTGTCCATCCTTGACATCGTCGCGCACACCTAAGAAGTGATAAAGACCTTAGCATTTTGAATTGGCTTTTAGGTAGAAACAGGTTATGGTCCATCTTCAACTCTGGTATCTTTCGGATTTCAGTGCACACACTGATCGTCTTGGCTCTATGTGAACACGAGCTTACTATGAAGAAAAGCAGAAGCCAATGAATACACATCTTGTGAAAGTTTGGTTCAAGTATTCTGAAGACTACCTACACCAACCTAGGTGTGCCTACACACGTCCTGTTTATGCCAATGAGCTACAGCGTAAGGGATGTCTGACATATTATCCCCAGGGAGCTGAGAATGCACGTCCCACTTCAGTCGGTTAAACATATACAGGTTACACTAGTTGTAACCTGCTTTTTGAGGTAGCATAAGATTGCTGTGCTGACATAGGTAGCTCTTCCTCCAGACCTCTTCCCACAGAACATGTCTGACATGAGATGGTTCGACGCCAACGACAGGACTAGAAACAGTCGGTAACGCTTGCTCATTATTTGGTTGACATTTACAACGACATCGCCCATGATGTTTTCAAACATCTGGCGTCTCCGATTCACCCCCGGTGCCCCCTGTATCAACGCAAATGGTGGCCACAGCCGATATTGACATTGTCAATTGATGTTGTTACACCACTGCCCTGTAGGGCATGTCTCACTTCTCTCCTGTTACCGGCTATGGATTTTGTCAAACCAATTATTCTGTTGTTATTTTAAGACAAGTCATTGTTATGACAACCGGATTCCTTTTACAGTTACAAATCGAGTTATTAAGTTGACGTAATAAAGTAAGGTTATGCTTAATGTTCACAGGGAATACGCGATGGTGCAGTTATCCGTCACACAGTGCACGTCCTCAATCATGTGGGACTCTCAGTGTTCTGCTTCAGTTTAAATACTTATTGATTCAGTAAGAAATTGTATGTCTTATCCTCGTCGGGATCATCCCGCGGGTAAGAATAGATCACCAGAACCCTATGCTTGTTGTGAGAGCCGACAACATGGATCGGACACCCGTGAAGATCCGGGCTAGAATTAATCTTCAGCAACCATTGCTTGTCGTGAAAGGCTTCTATGCCTGTCGTAAGATGCGACTGGTGAGATCGGGTGGTCAGGCTCGCATACTTGGTTGATGGATGTCATCTTATCCCAGTTGGGTGGATCGATGCTCATGATATCAATCACTGGACTGTCTGTTTACAGACCGCCGTCATATAACATTTAGGCAAGAAGTAGTCATTCCCATGGGCACCAATGTTGCTCCCCTTCTTTTGGATCTGTTTCTTTATACATATGAATCGGAATTTCTGCTCGGATTGGCAATGTCAAAACTTAAGCTTCAGGTATATCGATGATCTGATATCGTTCAGTAACAAACAAAGAGCCAGTTCCCTTCCACTGATTTACTCACCTGAACAGGAATTTAATGAGACCAGTGAGACCGCCTCATCTTTTTCATATTTAGATTTATATATATAAAACTTCAGAATGACAAAACACTCTCCACAAGAGTGTATGACATGAGGGATGACCTCAACTTTCCTATAGTCACCTTTCCCTTCGTGTGGAGCAATATTCCAGCCTTTGGTGTTTACATTTCACAACTTTTGACATACAATCGTGCATGCTCTTTCTACCAAGATTTGAAAGAGCGTCATGCGACTCTTGCTCAGAAGTTGTTTGATCAAGATTACAACATTCGAGTCCCCAGTAAAAAGAGTTGTATGGTAGACATGTGGAGGACATTTCCAAATTTGACGCATCAGTGACAAAAATGATGTCCGATGCAGTTCCCATATGTTCCGTGTTGTTTCAGCTGAACAACTGACTTGACTTTGCATGTGTTTGTGGCGAGTGCCACCGGTGGCGCAGGATACGCTAACCTTTTCGCGAACACCTGGTATCATGTCTATTTTGATAGTGATTCAAAAACACATGCTCATGATACAGTCGAAATCGTACAATGAACTCTGCTTTTAGCAGAGATAACTACTGAATATGGAAAGTGTTCTGTCGCTTGTATGTGATGCCCACTCGCCTGTACACTGTGTACAAGTGTGTCTTTATGAAGAGAGTACAACATATATACGAGAACATCGTACAATAACAGTTAGTGGTTTGTGAGCAGAAGACAATAATTGCTGTCTTAAAATGAATGGATATCAGAGATTGCGTTTCTCCTAATTCACCACATAGCTCAGAGCAGAACCGACTACCTACGATATGGACATGCACCATGTGTCTGCCATTTACCCGTAGCCCTACATATCTCAGTCATAAACAGCGACTCGCCGCCACACCGAAGTGAGCTCTTCAGGTAGCCGCATATATATGTAAACAGGACCAATATCGAACTGAAAAACTTTGGTTTCCGGTCACACGGTATGTATGGTTACATGATTACAGGAAGTTCATGTCTCTAAACAGCTTTTTAATTGGTCAAACATTGAATTCGCGAATAGTAGTATGACTGGAAACAACTTTTCTGATTGAATTTCAAACGAACTCAAACTCAAATCGATGTTGCCTCACTGAAAACATGTTCATCGTCCACTAGTAAAAGAAACGACGTCACCTTGTGCAGGGACAGAGCTTGCAAATAGGTCACAAAACTCCAGGACGCAATTTGGGAAGTTGTCTGGAACATACACCCGCGAATTAATACTTCGTGACGTTAGTCCAACAACACGGTTGCTGGGATCACTAAGTCTCTAGCAGCCCAGTAACTGAATTGTAAGAGAAGTGTTTAGAAGTTTCACTAAATAATTACTAGCAATGCATGAAACTGTGCACCATTTCATAAACATCAGTTCAATACATTGTCACTCTTCAGGCGTTTATTGTGTCTGCTTTCCAGTGTGAGTTTTATGTATGGACAGTTGGATAATATATCCAACCGTCCTAGTTGCTTAATTTATGTTCCTAATATTAAAAAAACCCATACTTAATATAATAAGGGGATGTAGGTGATATGACATCACTGAGATGTCAACAGGGCAACATCTTTTAAAAAAAGCGACAGTCAAATTCAGGAAAATATATAAAGCAAATAATTCCCATTTTGACATGACTGCTTTATATATATACACTTCCAAGGTAATTTTGCTATTTTAATGCATGTTTTATAAATATAAAAGACAATAACCTGAATTGTTTCTGCATGTAAGGATGGTTTTGATTCTTTGCAATAGGACTGTATTCTGCAAACACGATGCAGTGAAACCCCGTGGCTCGGGACCGTGCTGTGTTTGGTGAAAACATCCGAATTGCTAACAAATCCGGTTTAACGAGTCATTTGTGCTCAGTTATGGCCCCTTAAGGATGTGTGCGGGTATGTATTTGTGTTCGCCGCGCAATTCGAACTGTGGTGTATCGGGAGCCCTTTACAGACATATTTTAAGACAATCTGTAGCCAAATAAAGCATGCAGGCGAGAAATAAAGACCCAATTTCAAATCGTAAAAGACAGGGAGTTATATATTAAACATACACGAATTTGCACACTAACACTATGACGTATTGAGGAAAGTTTTATCTATAAGTGATTGAACTAATGTAAGGCGTACTTTTGTGGAAAACTGTAAGACCATCAAAAGAGGAATTTGCCCCGTAGTTTATAATAGGTCAGTAGGCACATTAACCTCCTTTATTCAATTGGAAATTGGATTAAATCATTAAGATTAAAACAAATTCCTATGTCCGAAATACTCCAAATAAAGGTCAGAGAACATCCTTTATTACATTGTATTAAGAAACGTCCCCAGCAACATTCGTTTTGATTACGGGGTGTTCGGAATAACGAGGTTCCACCTAACGAAGAAGTGTCATTGTAGATCAGTCTGTATACAACGGAACTACATACAATTTCAAAACACAGTAGGTTTATCTCCTAAAGGTTCACCAGCACAATACCCGTGGTCGTGGGATTCACCGAAGTGGTAACGACTTCGGGCTTTTCTCCCACATGAAGCTGACACGCCGTGATATAAAAGGAAAACTGTTCAAAGATGCGTTAAACCCAACACACTCACTCACTCACTCTTACTTCATGGTATCGTCATCTGGACAAATAAATGGATGGATGAATGAAATGTACTTAGTCACACGAAAGGAAGACAGGCTGGAACACCGCCATCAACGTCACAGTACTGGTCATCAGGGCACGTGTGGTCTTGACACAGGCCAGCAAAACTCGGAGACCATGGTGTAATTGAACTGAAAAAACACCCCACACCGAAATGTATGTTTAAAAAAAATCAAGATAACACTGTTAACTAAACAAACAGCTGCATTACGTTGTGTATCAACACATAACCCGTTGACAGCCTGGTAATATAAAAAGCGGATGGTCTCATACATCTAACGGTATTTAAATGGTTTCCCTTCATGTTCTGAGTTAATAAAAAATAGTAATCATTATTGCTGTGTTTCATTAAAGTTGGTAACCACGGATAGCTCAGTCGAATAAGGCACTGCAATTAGCTGTGCAGAGTTGCGTCCCTTGGACACGCAAGAAGTCTTTGTTCGTAGGTTCGAATCCCGGTTCGCCCCGATTATGTTTCTAGGTTTGTCAGCACCATGCACAGGCTCGTGGATTTCACCAAAGTGGTAAACGTGGAAAATTCTTTTATATAAATTTTGCTGGAATACTGTTCAAAGTGACGTCAACCCAAACTCATTCACTCGCTCACTTGATTAAAGTTACTCCAGGTTTTTAACAGCAGAAACATATCTAACATAAAAACTTAAGTCTTGAGGAAAGTCCAGTAAAAGTGAGTGAGTGAGCTGGGAATAACGCCGCTTGCTTTTCGGACGAGGCAACTAGCGGGATCGGGTGGTCAGGCTCTCTGAATTGGTTGATGCATGCCATCGTATCCCAGTTGCTTAAATCGATGCTCATGATGCCATCACTGGATTATCTGGTCTGGGGTTAAACAACAAACAAACAAACAAACAAACAGACAAACACAAGATGGGCCGACTTACTTGCACCTAACAATGTCAGTGTGTTTCCTTGACCAGGCTAGTCTTCAAGTCTTAAATTAGTCCCAAACATCACCTGCGATGAACTGAGACGACGTGTGTATCCGTGAGGTATATGTTGTCCTAGGTCATCTCTGCCAGTACCGACAGGAATTATTGGATCACATGGCACAATATGATACTGACAGAAGTCATGTCCCATATATTATTGCTGCTCGATTTCAAATTGTGTACGTAATTTTTATCAACCTTGCCACTTTTTGTACCAGCTGTCGTATTGTAAGAACTATATGCGACGGGATCAGTCGGCACATGGTTGGCAATCAGATCATGCAATATCAGTCTCCACTGCCGGGATAGTCCAGTGGTCTCGTTACGCTGAAAAACCGGGTTCGATTCCCCACATGGGTACAATGTGTGAAGCCCATTTCCAATGACCCCTGTGCTACAACTGAAATTTTATATAAAGCAGCGTAAAACCCATCTCACTCACTCCATTGCTGAAGGTTCTCGTGGAACAGCCTGCCTTTGAGGGTTGACAACAATGCCAGTGATTCGTCGAGGTATGTAAGCTTTATTCGGAAAGGAGGTCCAAACTGACGTAATTCGTAGACGTTTACAAAAAAACCTGATGTTGTGCTTGATAAAACAAGGATCATAGTCAGAACGAAACTTGAGCGAGTGCGCGAGTAAGCTGGGGTGACTGGGGTGACTGGGGTGGCTGGGTTGACTAGTTTACAATTAAACAACTAATCTACTCCGTCATTAACACTGAGACAATTGGTGGATAAAAACTCAATATAACATAAACAAAGTCGTTACCTGTGAACCATTCCGTCATGCAGCACGAGGGTCTCTGAGCTCAGATCAGAACTGTTGACTGTATTGAGAGAACATTCCGAACTTCCGAAGTTAAAATCAAAAGATTTACACAGTGTCCATCCTTGACAACGTCGTACACATTTTAAAAGAGTAGAGGGTGTCACCTGTTTGTATAACGTGTGTGCTACCAAAAGGTTACTATTCACTGCAAGGTGCGGAATTTTGTTCACGTCCACACATACATTGATGGCGTCGACGAAACGTGAGCATGTCGAGACGATGTAGAAAACCCGAAAGACCCGAAAGCACATCTTGAAGAGTCTGAGGATTTTGAAGACAACATACACGTGTTGTTTGGACGGTGCTGTCATTAAAAGACTTCTAGCAGGCACCAAAGCAGTATATTCCCAATGGAAATAGAAATCTATCTCAACATAGACCTACTCTTCCAGTATACCCTTTCAACATAATCACGTTATGCCATGTTCTGTGGATTGTGGCTGTAAGTGGTCGATTGAGGTATTAGCTTATTAGCTTATTACTGGATCTGCAAACAGTTTGATCGACAAGGGTTTTCTACTTTTTTACCTTGATCAATTATTTGTGACTAGTCTGTTTTCGATCTTATAACCCCAATCCTATTTCCTTCTTTTTCTTCTGCTGTTTACATGCCTATTAGCTGATTGGAAAATACGCCAGGTTTGTATCATCGTGAGTGAGTGAGTGAGTTGGGATTAACGCCACTTTTAACAGTATTCCAGTTATATCACGGCGTGTCAGCTTAATGTGGGAGGAAAGCCCGAAGTGATGCAGGTCTCAGACGTTAACCACTTTGTGGAAACCCACGAGCACGGGTATGGTGCTGACAAACCTAGAAACATAATCAGGGCGAACTTGGATTTTTGAACCCACAATCATAGGTTTCTTGCGTGTCCATGGGACGCAACTCTGCACAGCGAATCGCGGCGCGGCTCCTTAGACGACTAGGCCACACGTGTCCCCAACATTATTGTGAATTTAAGACACTAATTGAATAAACATCACTCTTAAAAAAAAAGAAACGCACAGGTAGACTTTGAGAAAATTTATTGTACCTAATAATGTCGATATATTTAATATCATAGATACAAATATGAAATTTTAGAGCTCGATAGTCACATGTTGTCGTTGTACATAGGCATTGAAAACTGTTCGTTGTCATGTCACAACAGCAAGGCCACAAGGTGGCGCTGAACTCAGTATCTCGTGTGACAGCAATCACGGCTCTGCATCTCCTCGGCACTGACTAGATATGTGTACGAATTCTGTCCTGCGTAATTCTCCGCCATTCTGCTTGTAACGCGTTGACCAGTTGTAGGAGTGTCTGCGGTGTGTTCTGACGTTGACGTTTCACGTTGATCGAGTTCATCCCAGAGGTGTTCGATTGAGATCTCGAGGGCCATGGCAAGTCGTTGATGTTGGCATTCTGAAAGGTAGTCTGCCGTGACACGAGGTGTGTGCGGTTAGGCGTTGTCCTGTTGAAACAGCTCCCTCTGGCGGTCAATGATTGGAATAAGGTGAGGTTGAAGAATTTGATTCATTTAGCGATTTGGTGTCAAATTTCCCCGAACCACAACCAGTTCAGATCTCATGGTGTTGGATATGGCCCCCACACCATGACACTACCGCCATCGAAATTGTCGAGTTCACGTACACAATATGGGGCAAAAGGCTCATTTCGACGACGATAAACACGTTGTCTTCCATCTCGCCAGTAAAGAAGAAATCATGATTCATCGCTAAACCACACTCGTTTCCAGTTTCCAAAATTCCAAGGCTGTAAGGTATGGCACCAACGCAAGCGTCACTATGGATTGATCTGTTGCAAAACAGGGCCGATAACTGGTCTTCTGGTTCGGATTCCAGCCTCACGAAGATGGTTCCTGGCAGTCTGGTCCGATATCCTCCTCAAACCAGTGATGCGTCCTGCAGTTTCCGTAGCTATGGCATTGGGATGACGTAGGTGGAACAGTCGAATGTAGCGATCCTATGCAGGGGTGGTAACTCTTGTTCGGCTGGTTCTCGGACGGTCTGCAGTGGAATTGAACTGTTTGTATCGGTCCCAAAGGCGGCAAATGGTGCTGTGGTGGACGTTGAAGTGGCGTGCAACAGAAGACTGCGATTCGCCTCTTTGGATACGTCCTATGGCGATGTTCCGATCGGCAGCGCTGAGTCTCGGCATTTTCGAACTTGAAAAATGTTGACAATTGAATGGCAAATTATTGGCTTATGCTTGCCTTTCTATAGCCACTACCACGAGTTACGAAGGTCATAACTTGCACGTGCATTTTGCTTTACTGTTTTCCTCCATAACATTTTTGAACAAGTATGAAAACAATGCCGTTTTGACGCACCGTTTGTCGAGTATGAGGACACCAACATTTTCCAATATATTCAATTTATATACAGGATTTTTCAATGAACTACATACTACTGCGTTTCTTCTTTTGAAGAGTGTATGATGCTCGAGAGCTTGTTGAGCTTTGCGGTTTCCTTCGTTTTGTAAGTAAGATGAAAACTAACGTGCCAAAATGCAAACATACACACAGGCCTAGACTAAATGTCGTTCATGGCTATTATAATGTTGATTCTAAAAGACTTGGGTTCCACCGTAAATATTTTTTGGGTACGTCATTGCGAATTTAGAAATATATGTTTTGTCAACTGGCCTTGTTTCATTTAAGTATATGTGTGAAATGTTAATTGTAGTACATGTACGTTTGATGCACGAAACTTCCACGATTGTAAACAGGTTTGTCTTGTGCACTATTTGTTTCCCACTGCAAGTTTTTGAAATTATACTATTTTGGACAAAGAACCAGCATACGTTTACAAAATGCCAGTGCAACATCAGAAGCTATCAGTTCTTCTGTACAAAAGATATACCGGTTCCAATGTATACAAACTATCACGAAACCTGTACAAAAAAGAGCATACAATATTGTTTGCGAGTTTCATATATCAAGTTGATAATAAAAAAAGATAGCAGACTTGAAAATGAGCTCGCTTACAGGGGTCGAATTAATTGTCAATTAATGGAACATTAAGACCTTATCAGATAAAGACAAATATTCACATTTTTTGGCGAAACCGCATTATCAGTGGTTCATATTGGGAAAGGGAGGTCACTCTAATTTCAAACGGGAGCTATCTCCGTTGTTTTCGTATTTGCGAGAAATGGCGCCACCCACGCTGCACGTTGTTGGTCCAGCTATTAAATGCCCACCTTATCCCTAAGGTAAAACGTAAGGTAATTAAATGTTTGAATGCATTATATATTTATGTTTCCATCAGTACATCTTCTAAGATTGGTTTAGTGGTGATAACCATTTTCTAAAATGTGGGCCCACATTTTCCCCGTCATCTATGGTGATCGAAACAAGTGGGCCCACATTTGTATTTCGCCTAGCTTCGTTGGGTGTTTCGTTAGTTCTGATAATCAATCCCTAAATGTGGGCAGACGTTCTTCCGTCATATTGATTGCAACAGGAGGGACCACATTTATTAATCGCGAAATTCTACTTAAATATTGATAATCATTTTCTCAAATGTGGGCCCACATTGTTCCCGTCATATATGGTGATCGAAACAAGTGGGCGCACATTTGTATATCGCCTAGTGGGTAGACGTTCTTCCGTCATAGTGATTGCAAAAGGAGGGACCACATTAAAAAATCGCTAGCTTCATTAGCGTTGCTTACTTATAACCATTTTCTAAAATGTGGGCCCACATTGTTCCCGTCTTATAGTGATCGAAACAGGTGGGCCCACAATTTCAAATCGCTGGGTTTCATAAGGTTGACGAAGTCATTTAGGCTATCGGGCTCACGTTTGTCATTATGTGACATTTTATATTATTCATATTTTATAATATTGATGGGAAATATCTTTATAAATCATTTCGTGTGACATTAATTCCATAAAAGGCACAAAAGTCTTTGAAGTTTGAATAACTGCGTCATAGCTGACCACACTAGTTTTACAAAAATAGCTACCAAGCAAGAAACTTAAATCTACTTCAAATTAAAATTACAGAGGCAATACCACTCATTCTACCTTTTCCAATATAACACATCAATCTAATCATAAGTGTTGGTGGCGATATAAGCCTGAACATATGTCTACACTTGAATTGATCTCGGACATGATACAAGCCTCAGACGTTTCCGAGAACTTGTTCCATAAAAGGAATAACTCATGAATATTAATAACCCCACGACCTAGTTTGGCGATGTTCGTAGAAGTGAGTTCTGCTGTATTGCCATCTTATTTGTACATTTTTATCCAATTATAAGTCATAATACTTATTTTAAATAGACAAATTATGAGTTCGTTATGCGGGTTTGTTTACGTGGTATATATTCTCAACAACAAGTGCGTTTAGTTTCGAATGTGGGCCCACCTCGAACTTTCGATTAGGCAAACGGAGTTAGCTCCCTTCTCGAACCACCGATAATGCGGTTTCGCCCATTTTTTTAATTACAGGGATGACATGAGAAAAAGATATAAATCCACAAGGTATTTATTGCACAAAAATGCCTCTGACTTTTGTTTCTTTAATAAAATACCATACACATTTGCCTAATCATGCCATTGTAATTTTATCACAGAAGAAAATACTTCTTCAGCGTATTGTAAAACTGTTTTTATCCAAACTACTAAAACGTAGCATACCCTCTCATTACAAGTTCAAAGGCAGAATCTTTAATCCTCAATCCTATCTATCTAAGTCCACAGCACGTCGTTGGCATTACATTATAGTATGGTGCATCGAATCATTATCGACGGGATCGCTCAATAGCGACGGCCTCGACTGCTGGCGGGAGAACACTGGCGTCGAATACGGTCATCCAATGATGTTGAAAATGGGGAGTTGTCATCCAACTGTATGCAGGGCCGATTTCCAGAAGCATTGGCCACGCTGTCATAGATGAAACCCAGTCATCTCCATACGGACATTGGCCTGACGCAAATGAACACTTCCTCCTTCATGCTGTGTAATTCTGTCACTTTTAATGTTACTATAAAGTATCCATGTCGGAGGGCTGTTGTTCAATCAAACATCCTGATCTTGATGTTGACTTTAGACATTTAGTTTATATTTGTCTTGATCTGTAGTAATCCTTCCGCAGGGTTTACACGATGGCTTTATTTTTACCGCCAATATGTTTATCTGAAGCTATTTTAGTTAGTATTTCATCATCATAATCATCATTATCATCGTCATCATCATCGTCGTCGTCGTCATCATCATCATCAGCAGCAGCAGCAGCAGCAGCAGCAGCAGCAGCAGCACTAGGTTTTTGAAAAGTTCATACTAACCGTCACTAGGTGATTCCATTGTATAATTTCTGTCAATACAAATAAATACTGTGTAGATATTCTGTTCAGTGAAACCGTTTGCACTTGGTGGAACCGTCAT